CCTCGGAAGGCGTATAACGAAGTCCATAGTGGGAACATCATTTTCAGGTTCAGGTGATAAGCTACCTCCAAGGACTTAGCTTGGAAGGACTTGGATTTTGAAGACTATTTCTAGTTATTTGTTTTTCATTGTTAATACATGTAAACACTCAAGCCTAGGGCTTTATTTATAATTGAGTTAGAACTCATACTTTTGTGTCCAAGTGTTGGCTTGGAAAGATGTAAGCCGTCAGGGCATTTAATTTGATGTCACATGTAATGTTTTTGTTTAGTAAGACTCTGATGGATATTATAATGAATTGTTGAAGTGTTTTCTTTAAATAATGCATGTCATTGATATATATAATGGGTTAATTTTTGAGGGCGTTACACAATCTACCTTTGAGAGATTGTACATTTGCCTTAGAGCTTGCAAGAGGGGTTTTGTAACAGGGTGTAGGCCACTAATTGGTCATGATGGATGCCATTTGAAAGGTGGACAAACTGGACAGTTACTATGTGTAGTAGGAATTGATGCCAATAACCAAATGTTTCCAATAGCATATGCAGTGGTGGAGGGCGAAACAAAGAGCTCTTGGTTGTGGTTCATTCAGTTGCTCATAGAAGACATAGGCATAGAGAATCAACGTGGACGGACATTTATTACAGACAAACAAAAGGTATATACTTATCATTAATTTAATATATTGTTATTGTTTATATTTGATAATTGATTGTGCTAATTGCAGGGTTTGATTCCTGCACTGGAGGAGCTTGTGCCATATGCTGAACATAGAGACTGTGTTAGGCACTTGTACACAAATTTCAGAGATCAACTCAAAGGAAAGGCATTAAAGGACAAGTTGAGTGCTGCTAGGTCAACCACTGTCCACAAACTTGAAGAAGTGATGGACCAAATCAAGGGAATGGACAAAGAGGCATTCAAGTGGTTGGCAGGCACTGGTCCAGGTCACACTTTAGAACCTTCCCAAAGTGTGACATACTCTTGAACAATATGTGTGAGTCATACAACAAGTTTATTTTAGAGACCAGAGACAAGCCAATCATAACAATGCTTGACGGGATAAGATGTTTGTTGATGAAAAGAATGCAAGTAAGGAGGGACTTAATAAGGAAACATGAGGGTAAATTATGTCCAAAAATACAGAAAATGCTAGAGCAATTAAAAATTGAATCAGGGGGTTGTTTTCCTATGTGGTCAGGGGGGCCTAAGTTCCAAGTTAATTGTTCAAATGGCGATCAGTGGGTAGTGGACCTGGATGAACATACTTGCTCATGCAGAAGGTGGGATTTAAAGGGTATACCTTGTGCTCATGGTGTGGCTTCTATCTCTTACAAGGGTGAGACACCAGAAGATTATGTGAATGAATGCTATTGGACAGAGACCAATTTGAAGATTTATGAAAACATGATACAACCTCTAAATGGTCCTAAATTGTGGTCCAAGACTGGATTATTACCCCCATTACCTCCTGTTTATCATAAGCCTCTAGGAAGGCCTCCAACTTCTAGAAGGAATGGACCAGATGAGCCTACCAAACCTCCCAAAGTCACAAGGTAGAATACAACAGTAAAGTGTGGTAATTGTGGGACATGGGGCCATAACTATAGGAGTTGCAAGAATCCACCAAACAGGGAGTACCAACAAAAAAATAAACCAAGATAGAAGAGCTTAGGCTATAAAAGGAAAAGGGTGAGTGCGTACTTTGTTGTTAATGTTTTAAATTAATACAACTAAATATATGTTAATTGGACGAAATATTTTTTGCCAATTGCAGTGTACTAAGGCTGGATCAAAATATCCCAAGCATCAGCACCAATGGCAACACCAAATCGACCTTCAGCACCAAATCCAGCTTCAGCCATTCCAAGGGTAGCTTCAGCAATACAAGGGCACCAAATCCATCTGCATTAAGGGCAAGTTCACAGACACAAAGGGAAACTTCAACAACAAAGGCAACTTCAACATCAAGGGCAACAATAGCAGCAGGAACAGGGACAACACCAACAACAACAAGAAGTGCAACAACAATAACAAAGTCAGCATCGTCATAAACATCTGAAGCATCAAGAGGAGCAACATCAACACCAACAACAACCTCATTTACATGGAGAGAGAGGAATGTTATGACCTTGTCCTCACTTCAGGATGCATCTGCCTCTAAGGAGAAGAACCCAAAGTAGGGGTGTTGTTTATTTTGATTATCAAACTCTTTTGACAATGTGGCATGTTTTGTCTATGTAGTTTGGATACTGCCAGCATGTTTGCATCATGAATATGTGGCCATTTTGACTTGATGGATACCAACAACATATTTTATGAAATGAATTACGGCCATTTGCCTGTTCATGTGGATATTGGCTTCATTTGTGACAATGTACTTATGGATACTGCTAGCAAGTTTTCCCCCCTTTGCTGTCATTTAGTGATCACATGTTTTTCATTTGACTAACTTCTGTTGACAACGAGGGTAACAGAAGGGTCAAAGTGACACTTGACCAAAAGCGCAGAGGGTTAATTGTCACAATTCAGTGTAGGGGCTAAAGTGAGATTTTATGTAAAGTGCAAGGGTGAAAAGTATAATTTACCCTTAATAGTTTAAGGGGGCATTTTTGCAAATTAATAGTTCAAAATGACACAGTTTGAGCGGGAAAGTTAATTTTTTTCACAAGTGTTTTTATTGCATGATTTTTAAATTAACAGTGGAGGGTGCTTGAAGATGAGGTTTTCATTGTTGTTCATTCTAATCTATAGGCATGAATCAATTAAGGACCTGAAAGATGAAATTTCCAAACGCTTCCTGAATCTGAAGCAGATAACTTCTGGGTTAGTTCATTCTCCCAACCTTCATCTTCTCTATTTTGTTATTGAATTTTTAAATTTTTGATTAGACTTAAGTTTGTTGTGCGTGACTTATTTCCATACTTCAAGCTTAGTATTTCATAAAGAAAGGATCACTAGAGGCAGTGTTGGTTAATCGGCTACCATTTGTTTGTAAAATTGTCTATCAGAATGTTTTTATTTTCTTCTTTTTGGTTTGGTGAGAATGATTCTGTTCTATAGTTTTGTTCTGATTCTGTTTTTCTGTTGTAGATTTGAATTATTAGGCTTGCACCTCCATGTGCAACATCGGGTGGATTTCATGGAGTGGGCTCCAAGCTCGGTATAACCCATTAATATTGATTACTATTTTTCTTTCTTTATTAATCTGCAGCTTTTGAACAGCCCGCAAATTTTAAAAGTTTTAGCTATCTGATCTGGTTTTGCTTTGTTGAATTCCAGATTATATTAACAACTTGCTATTTGAATTTATAAAGATCACATGGCTAATAAATGCAATATGCAATATGTTGGATAACTACATGAAAATAGTGCCAAACACCCAAAGCCCAATAGATATACATTCCAATCAATGGAAATAACCAAGACAACATATAATTTGCAAGGATATTTACATGCAAACCACTTAATAATGCTTAAATCAACTGCTATTAAGTAGCCAATCAAATATTTAACCACATGAAACAAAATTTCTTGTTCAAAGCTGTCACGCCCCAAAAAAAAAAAAAAAAAAAAAAAATACAATTAACCCATCCATAAGAGAAGAGTGCATAATAGAATTGATATCCTTTCATTCATCAGAGTTTGTAATACAAAAGATATAACATGCATTATACATTCATAAATGTTCATCCTGAATCTATAGTATGCAACATTAGTTAATAACAACAAAATAAATACCCTATGGGCTTATATCTTTCAAATATTTCACTTGGTTACAACAAAAGAGAGTCCTAAGCTCTATATATGTTAAGCCCTGGCTTGAATAAATGTTTAAACACAAAACGACAAAATAGAGCCTCAAGCTCCTAAGTTCTCCCAAGCTATGTCCTTAGAGGAAGCATGTCACCGGTACCTAAAAATGGTTTCCCAAGTAGGGTGAGCCAAAGCCCAATAGAAATAGTCTAATACAATGTATGAAGTTTAACTAAGATATGTGTCAGATAAATGTTCAATATTCATGATCAACTTATATTCTTTCCATAACCATTCAATACTGATATTCATACCTTAATCCATTCTCATTTATTCATTTCAAGTTAATTCATTTCATTCCAAGTCATATGGAAAATATAATATTTTTTTTTCTTTTCAAATGATCCAACTGAGACTACAATTCAATGGTTCCCTATCCACATAACCATCATACAAACACTTCAACCTTACCATTTCACAGAAATTTCGTCCACGGGATCGGCACCCATGTATTCACAAGATTTAGGGACTTTCACCTTGGACACTCCGGCCAAATTAACTCTCAATGGAGTCCATCCTCTATCTCCTCCCAAATAATGGAATACATCCCCTTTCTTCTCCCAAAGCATTATACATATACAACGTATTTAAATTCATCGTCATATACAATGACTATCCATAACACATATTCAATGCCTTAATCATACCGTCATATTCAATGACAACTTAAATGATTAGTGTCAATTCACTTAATCATCATGCAATTTCTACAACAATCATAGCTATCCTCCACCGATAGCCCAATACAGATATTTCTAAATAGATATACAATCTTTATAACAGATAATTTATCAAATTTTCCATGAATGAGTGATTAAACAAATCCAACTACATCATTCATTTACACCTTTTCCCAATTTCACATTTCTCATTTCAATTTAATTATTTATACAAAATAATATTCAAAACACATTTAGGGTAAATCCCCCCTATTCAAATATTAATCCAAAGGCTAAAATTCACCATTTTAACACAAGATATCCTCATATTCAAAACCCCATAATCATCTATGGAACACAATATAGAAACCCCTCTTTCAATTTGAGAACAAACCCTAAGTTTACCTAAAAACTCCCAAGATTTCCACCATTTATACATAACCACAAATAACTAGGTTAAAACTCATACTAAAGTATAGAATATTTCTATGTCAAAGAAAGAAGATGAGCCAAGCAGGAGAGAAACCCCAAAAGTGCCGAAATCCAACTCTAATCAGTTCATAGAGAAGATCTTGAGAAGCTCCACCTTTTTATCAAAGGAAGTAGGGTGGAGAGATCAAAAGATCTAGGCCAAAATGTAGAGAGAGAGAGTATTTTAGAGAGAGAGGCTCTCAACTTTAGGGTTTTGGCTGAAAAGATATGAAAAAGCGATGTAAAAAGTGTTTTTCGCGATCTGATATACGCACAGTCCGCTCAAGAGGAGGGTTTCACGCTCGAGCGTCAGACACAAAGATTTGTTCCGCTCAAACGCAAGAAGAGGCCCGCTCGAGCGCAGAATACATACCTCCAAAACTTTTGCAGACAATAGACCAACCGCTCGAGCGCACATCCTCTCGGGCTTAAGAAAGGCCGCTCGATCGTGAAAAACATTCCTCTAGCACTTTTGCAGAAGTGCAGAGTACTGAGAGTTTACAACTGCCGCTCGAGCGCAAGAAAGGCCGCTTGAGTGGAGAACCAAAATGTACATAGCCCGCTCGAGTGCAATAATGGCCGCTCGAGCGGAAGACCAAAATCTGGGCAACACAAAGTTTGAAAACTAAGTAACTAACTTATTCCAAACACAACCACAACAACCCAAAGATCAATTTCAAAGGTATACAAGGGAGGAAAGAGATAGACAACAATATGAAAACATTAAACCCGAGCCCGGAATATCACAAGAGTCGGGTAAAAACCAGGATCGCTATAAAATCTATGCAGAAGGAAGAAGAAAGTGAAGAGAGAAGAGAATGTGTGAGGAAGCAGCAAACAAACTCTGGAAAAAAAAAATTCAATAGCCAACCTCCATAGAGAAATGTTCATAGAATTAGGTTGAAAAGCGTTACCATATGTCAAGTTACTTAAATGGTCTTGTGACTAGCTCATGTCCATTAAGCACCACATCATATGCTAGAAAATAAAATAACTAAAATTAATCCCAAAATAAATAAAGGAAACTAAACCCTAACATAACATTTCTTAGTTTTTCATTTTTTATATTTTTCCCTTCTTGCTCCTGGTTTTTTTTAATTATTATTTTATATTATAATTCTTTGTGGCAAGTCTTGATACTTGAACCATGATTTGGACTTGATGCAAGCAGTACTATTATCATCATCAAAAGCCAATTTCCATTTCATGTTCATTTTGAATTCTATTTGTTACATATGAAGGTTTAATTTGTTCAATACAAGTGTTCGCTATTGTTCACTGGTGGGTGACTTTAATGAATGGTCATCAACGGAAAATTGTGCAAGAGAGGGCCATTTTGGGCATGATGATTACAGATACTGGTTTATCATTCTAGAAGATAAATTGAGGGATGGAGAAAAACCAGATGAATACTATTTTCAGCAGTATAACTATGTGGATGATTATGATAAAGGTGACTCACATGTCACCGTTGAGTAGCTCTTCAAGAAAGCAAATGATGACTACTGGGAACTTGGGGAGGATAGGTATATAAAACATCATTTTGAAATTGTAGCTAAGTTGTATGAGCAAATATTTGGTCCTATGTACGTACTGTTTGTTCCTATAGGTCATATTTGGCACGGGAAACCTATCGGTTACATCACAACATTGGTTCGGGGTCTGTTTCGCATTTTCGCCTCCCAAACGCCTTTTTTCAACTAAGTTTAAGGTATTTTCAACTCTAACTCCCAACCTACGTATAGCGATCCCGGTATTCCCTGTTGTTATTGAACTGTAATCCGGATTTGGTTCCGTAGATTCGTTGTTGTCTTATCCTCATTTCTATCCCTTACTCTTTGTTTTAGAGTTTTGGGTTGTGTTGGGCAAGTTGGGAATTAGTTGGTTGTGTTTTAAAGCTTTGAAACTAAGGTACCACACCCTTCCAGCTAGCGCCTGGTAAACTGACTGCGCTGAGAATCTAAGGTACCACACCCTTCCAGCTAGCGCCTGGTAAACTGACTGCGCTGAGAATCTAAGGTACCACACCCTTCCAGCTAGCGCCTGGTAAACTGACTGCGCTGAGAATCTAAGGTACCACACCCTTCCAGCTAGCGCCTGGTAAACTGACTGCGCTGAGAATCTAAGGTACCACACCCTTCCAGCTAGCGCCTGGTAAACTGACTGCGCTGAGAATCTAAGGTACCACACCCTTCCAGCTAGCGCCTGGTAAACTGACTGCGCTGAGAATCTAAGGTACCACACCCTTCCAGCTAGCGCCTGGTAAACTGACTGCGCTGAGAATCTAAGGTACCACACCCTTCCAGCTAGCGCCTGGTAAACTGACTGCGCTGAGAATCTAAGGTACCACACCCTTCCAGCTAGCGCCTGGTAAACTGACTGCGCTGAGAATCTAAGGTACCACACCCTTCCAGCTAGCGCCTGGTAAACTGACTGCGCTGAGAATCTAAGGTACCACACCCTTCCAGCTAGCGCCTGGTAAACTGACTGCGCTGAGAATCTAAGGTACCACACCCTTCCAGCTAGCGCCTGGTAAACTGACTGCGCTGAGAATCTAAGGTACCACACCCTTCCAGCTAGCGCCTGGTAAACTGACTGCGCTGAGAATCTAAGGTACCACACCCTTCCAGCTAGCGCCTGGTAAACTGACTGCGCTGAGAATCTAAGGTACCACACCCTTCCAGCTAGCGCCTGGTAAACTGACTGCGCTGAGAATCTAAGGTACCACACCCTTCCAGCTAGCGCCTGGTAAACTGACTGCGCTGAGAATCTAAGGTACCACACCCTTCCAGCTAGCGCCTGGTAAACTGACTGCGCTGAGAATCTAAGGTACCACACCCTTCCAGCTAGCGCCTGGTAAACTGACTGCGCTGAGAATCTAAGGTACCACACCCTTCCAGCTAGCGCCTGGTAAACTGACTGCGCTGAGAATCTAAGGTACCACACCCTTCCAGCTAGCGCCTGGTAAACTGACTGCGCTGAGAATCTAAGGTACCACACCCTTCCAGCTAGCGCCTGGTAAACTGACTGCGCTGAGAATCTAAGGTACCACACCCTTCCAGCTAGCGCCTGGTAAACTGACTGCGCTGAGAATCTAAGGTACCACACCCTTCCAGCTAGCGCCTGGTAAACTGACTGCGCTGAGAATCTAAGGTACCACACCCTTCCAGCTAGCGCCTGGTAAACTGACTGCGCTGAGAATCTAAGGTACCACACCCTTCCAGCTAGCGCCTGGTAAACTGACTGCGCTGAGAATCTAAGGTACCACACCCTTCCAGCTAGCGCCTGGTAAACTGACTGCGCTGAGAATCTAAGGTACCACACCCTTCCAGCTAGCGCCTGGTAAACTGACTGCGCTGAGAATCTAAGGTACCACACCCTTCCAGCTAGCGCCTGGTAAACTGGTATGTTGTTGTGAAGAGGTGTATCTTTGGCTTACTATGCACATGGCTAGTAGAGCAAAGTTTTGTTGTTGATATTTCAGTGTGTTTAGGGAATATCATGGATTGTGTTGATTATGGTTCTGGAGGGCCGAGTTGCCTCATTGGTTTATCTTATGCACGTTGGTGAGTTGTTATTCCTTTTTTTTAACAGTACTTGTATAGAGTTGATTGTATCGGGAAAAATCCAAAATGTCATATTTGTCTTTTGGAAAGTGTGAAGGAGAACGAACTTTTTAAAGAAACATATACTTTGAAAAGCATATCTGTGTATATTTGGAAAATGGAAGAGTGTGGTGGGCTTAGTGAAATTATTTCCTAAGATATTGTTAATGTTATGAAAGAGTGGGAACGGGGATTAATGAAAAGAAAAGGAAAGATGAATCGCCTATGGCGTTGATTGAAATGGTTGTTTTCAAGAAATGTTCTTATGTTATTTTTGTATAAATTGTCACATTACTATTCTAGTATGAGAATGGGTGTTCATGATCATAGCTATCTGTAAGTTGTTATTGTTGAGGATCATGTTGAGTTCCCTACTGGACTATATGTTCATCCCACGTTGTTGAATTCTTTTCAGGTATTAAGCAGGTTGGGCTGCAAGATTTGGATCTACTTAATTACTGGCCACGGGGCCTCAGTTATGTTGGCGGAATGCCATTGTTGTGAAAGGGTTACAACCTTCTTCTTGTACCTTAAGTGATGTAAGCCCAAGGGCAATTTTTTAAGTATGTTCATGTAATATTTACTTTGCATACGAATGAGAGAATGTTAATCACTTCTACAGATTGAATGTATGAGTTTATTTCCGCATGTTATCCTTGAAATTGAATTAAGTTAATGGATTTGGTAACGACTTCGAGTAATAAAAAGTGGGGCGTGACACTACGTGTCCTATTCACGTACCATCTATGCCTATAGGTCATATTTAGCATGGGAAAGCAGGCCGTTACAGCACAACATTGGTTGGGGGGTTGTTTTGTATTTTCACCCCCTGAACGCCTTGTTTCGACTAAGTTTAAGGCATTTTCGACTCTAAGTCCCAACCTACATGTCCTATTTACGTACCGTCTATTCTTACAAGTCATATTTGGCATGGGGAATCTAGCCGTTACATCACAACATTGGTTGGGGGGCTGTTTCGCATTTTCACGCCCCGAACCCCTTTTTCGACTAAGTTTAAGGCATTTTTGACTCTAACTCCCAACCTAAGTGTACTATTTATGTACCGTCTATCCCTACAGGTCATATTTGGCACAGGGAACCTTCCAATTACGTCATAACATTGGTTGGGGGGCTGTCTCACATTCTCTCCCCTCAAACGCCTTTTTTAGACTAAGTTTAAGGCATTTTCAACTCTAAATCCCAACCTACGTGTCCTTTTTACGTACCGTCTGTCCCTACAGGTCATATTTGGCACGGGAAACCTTCTGGTTACATCACAACATTAGTTGGGGGGCTGTTTCGCATTTTCGCCCCCCGAGCGCCTTTTTTCGACTAAGTTTAAAGCATTTTCGACTCTAACTCCCAACCTACGTGTCCTATTTACGTACCATCTATCCGTACAGGTCATATTTAGCATAGGGAAGCTTCTAGGTACATCACAACATTGGTTGGGGGTCTGTTTCACATTTTCACGCCCCGAACACCTTTTTTCGAATAGCTTTAAGGTGTTTTCGATTCTAACACCCAATTTAAGTGTCCAATTTACGTACCATCAGATCTCACAAGTCATTTTTGGTACGAGGAAGCTGCCCGTTACATCCCAATAGTGGTTGGGGGGCTATTTTGTATTTTCGTCCCCCTAACCCCCTTTTCAACTTACTTTAAGTCATTTTTTACTCTAACTCCCAGCCTAGTTGTTCTATTTACGTACTGTTTGTTCCCCTTAGAATATTAGCCAAAAGATAATTTTGTTTCGATAAGTATTAATGGTAGATACAATTTAGGCTAGAGTACGTAAATAATATCAATTGACAAGTTCATTGTTAAATCCAACATATTTTGACAAAATTATTTTTAAACATCAATAAAATTGTTCTTACCAAACAGTAAACGTCAATCGACCACCTCAGATCCCCAAGAGTTGTGTGAGAGTACTTGGAAGAGCTTTGAGTTCAACCGAGTGTGCTAGCCATTGCTGAATCAAGATTACTCATTGTTTGTTTTTTGTGTTTTTTCTTTTTGGTACTCTAGAACTAATTTTAAAAAACCCCATTTGTAATTTATTTGTCTTTTCTCATCATGTTTTTGAGATCACAGGGGATGTAATGGCGGGAGTTTAATATATTTGTAAAATTAATTTTTTTTTTAACCTGTCCTATTAACTTTTTTAAATACAAATTTTTTGCCGAAATTTTAATAGAATTAAATTAAGTGTTGTATCTCAATTATATAAATCATTTCTCATTCTTTTGTCTTTAAAATTAAATTCTCAATAAAATAATATAAATCTATATCCAATTTGTTAAGTTTTACTCGCATATTTGTATTTAGATTCATGAATTCATACTCATAAGAGATCCATTGAGTTATCAGGCTACCTAATTCATTTCTCATCTTCATGTATTTTTCAATTTTTTTCACATGTAATTTAATGTAGAACTTGGTTGCTTTAGGATCTTTTGTGAGTAAAAAATGTGTTTGATTAATTGCATCTTGTTATGATTTGTGTAGGCTCTAGCAGCTACTCAAGCTCAACGTGAGACAGGTAACAGGTGGTTCCAAGGTACAGAAGATGCTGTGAGGCAGTTGTGTCATTGAAGATAGACGGTAAAGGAAAGGTCCTTTCATTCAGTGAAAAGCCCAAAGGAGCTAATTTGAAGACAATGGTAATTACTCAAATTTTGTAATACTCTGACAAAGTTCTATAGTATCTATGGACTCTATGACTTACTTTTCTCACAAAGTTCTATTGTATCTATGGACTCTTGGACTTATTTTTCTCACAAAGTTCTATACTTTTCTAGGCAGCAGATACAACAATTATAGGAATATCAAGAGAAGAGGCTGAAAAGAAGCCATATATTGCTTCCATGGGAGTCTATGTCTTCAAGAAGGAGATACTTCTCAATCTTACAACAATTGGTTTTGCTATCTAAAGAAACAAACTACAAGACATATCATATAGCACAATAAATAAATAAATAAATAAAAATTCATGATGTGTCAAACTTGAAGAAGTAATAAACATTCTGCATTCTTGTCAAGTCAGATGGCGCTTCCCGACTGCAAATGGCTTCGGATCAGAGATAATTCATGCCTCTACCAAAGAGTTCTTCATAAAGGTCGGTATCAAATATTTTCCGAATGCTCTCTTTATTTAAACATGTAACAATTTTTTAACCTCTCAAAATTTTGTTCCTCTACAATTGTGACATTTAAATTTTATTTTCCAACAGATACAAAGACTCATACATATATATATGCATATTGGGCAACAATCTAAACTATATATATACGCATATTTTCCAATAGGCTACCCAATTTTTTTCTCATATTTATCAGTCTTACACTTTCTTTTTTCTTTTCTTTTTTTTTTTAAAAAAAAAATTCCACAAGTGTTTGGTAGCAGGGAAAGTAGGTCATGTGTAGCTTGTTTGGTAACTTCATTCAAACATGCTATCTACAAACAAAAACAAAAATTCTTTGAAGTGAAACAGTTAGGTTTTAACATTTACTTCTGCATTTTTTTTTCAGCCCCCAAGATTTAGTTTCTATGATGCAAACAAGCCAATGTATACATCAAGAAGAAACTTTACCACCATCAAAGATTAATAGCAGCAAGGTTAGTGAATCTCATATGATTTTAGATTATGTGGAAGCTTCCTATTGAGCAAGATATGGGGCAAGATTTAAAATAGACTTCTTGCTTCTTTTTATTTATTTTTTATTTGTTGGCTATTACACTTGGACTTGGAAAGAGATCATTATTGAGTGTTATGCTTTTAGGTCTGGCCATATTTCTCGATCAATTTATTTGTCTAAAAATAACATTGCTTCAATCGTATCCAATGGCAGTTTCTTAAATAACTGCTTTATAGAGCACAGCATTGTTGGCATCCGATCCTGGATAAACTCCAATGTCCACTTAAAGGTTTGTTAATGATCCATATATAACTATATTCTTCACTAAACAATTGCATAATTTCATACTATTACATTGCATTAAGATCATGATAGCTTATTTTAATGTACACATCAACATTCAAAATGAGTTATATTATATATATAACCTAACAATAGTTGGCCATGTAAATGCAGGACACAATGATGCTTGGTGCTGACTACTATGAAATTGATGCTGAAGTTGCAGCACTGGTAGCAGAGGGAAAAGTTCCTATTGGAATAGGAGAATATACAAAAATCAAGTACAAAACAGTTCCTATTGGGTTGATTTGGGGTTGGGTGTGAAGGTATATGTGAATCGAAGAAGACATAGAGAGGGAGACAAAGAGACACAGAGAGAGAGAGCGAAATAGAGGACATTCCTACCCGAGACAAAGCGATGGTGGTGCTAACCCTTGCGGTGGTGCTCATGTCACCCTTGCGGTGTGCTTGTGTAACCCTTGCGATGGTGCTCCAGAGACAAAATATTTTCTTAAAAAATAAATTTATGAATGCACTTATGAATCAATGCTTGTGAATGATTCTTGTTCGCTAAACTGAAATAAATCAGCTTGTTCATTGATTTTGATTTTTGACGTCAAAATTTTTTCTTTGTAAAACCCTAGAGCTACGTGTGAGAAATAGGGAAATAGAGGAAGGGAGAGGGAGAGAGATCGATAGAGAGAGACCGAGATCGACAGAGAGGGAGAGAGATTGAGAGTGATAGAGAGAGAGAGAAAGAGAGAGACAAAGAGAAAGAGAGAGACCGAGATCGATAGAGAGAGAAAAACCTGTGATTTGCGGCAGTGGCGGTGGCGATGTGTGACGGTGGCGAATGATGGTGGTGAGCAACGGTGGCCAGTGACGGTGGGGTGGTAAGCGTCAGTGGTGAGCGGGGGTGAGGCTTGGTGGTGACTGTTCTCTGTGTGTGAGAGAGAGAACAGAGAAAAAAGTGTTCGTGTGAAACAGAGAAGAGGGGCGTAGGCGACAATAAAAATTTTCATCCTTTAGCAACTAAATTATTAATTGTCGGTAAATATTAATCAGTAACGACTAAACTTTTGTAGCCAAAAGTATAATTTGGCTACTAATTTTTTTTTTCGTTGGCAAAAATTAAACATACAACAACTAAATTTTTTGAGTCACCAAAAGTTTATATTTGTAGACAAAATTATTTGGTCGGCAAAGAGTAACCCAAAAATAAGCCTATTATTTGGTGACTAAACTTTCTTTTGTCGGCAAATAATTGTATACGATGACTAAAACAGGAATTAGTAGACTAAAATATAGACTTATGCTATAGCGATCCCGGTTCTTTCTCCTTTGGGTTGTAGTATCCGGACTCTCTTCCATTCTCCAAGCATACACAGATACCCCTTCTCAAAATTCATAATTTCTTTAAAGAAAATCCGTTTTCCTTTACATTTTCCAAAAGACAAAGATGACATTTTGGCTTCTTCCCGATACAATCAAATCTATACTGCGCTGTTTAAAACGAAGATAACAACTCACCGACATACATAAGATAAACCAATGAGGCAATTCAGCCTGCCAAAGCCATAATCAACACAATCCACAATATTTCCAAACACCAACGAAATATCCACAACAAACTTCCGCTCTACTAGCTATGCGCATAGTAAGCCAAAGATATACATCTTCACAACAACATACCAGTTTACCAGGCGCCAGCTGGAAGGGTGTGGTACCTTATTATCTTCAGCGCATTACAGTTCTCCAGGCGCTTAGCTAGAAGGTAACGGTACCTTTTGATTATAAGCGCGGCATATAACGCCAACAACAAACCATGCAACAAGGCATATCTAACATGTATAACATATATACATAAACTATCCAAATACAAACCATGTGTTAAAATATATGAACACACATAAATGTGTGGAGTACATCCCCTATCTTCTCACACACACTGGAGTACAACCCCTCTCTTCCTCCTAACAAGTATGCGAATTATAATGCATCTCAATATTTCACCACATAAGATGTTCAATCAACAATGGTATAGTGCATACACGACAATACAAACACGACCACGTCATCCTCCACCGAATGACCAAGGACAAAACCTCTAGATGCATGTATATTGACATCTATTAACAGACCCAGATATCATGAGATCATCAACTCATCACCAATACTAACATGGTAGTATAAAGATAACAACAATTCCAACATTCATACTCTTTTCAAAGTACCTTTCCCATTTCACGAACCAACTCTTCTTTAATTTTTCAAAACCGGTTTATTTCTTTTGTTTTTCACAAAAACAAATCCAAGGACAATAAAGCCAAAGCTCATTTTAATCTACTACATTCCTCTCCAAAGCCATTCCAATTTAATTATACAAATTAAATCATAATCATTAAAATAGGATTCCTCCCTTTTCCAATATTTATGAAAAGGTTTCAATCAACAATCAACAACAACAACAACAAACAACAACAACAACAATGGGCTTCATTCAAAAACCCAAATACCCAAGATTATTTACCCAATGATCAAAAACCCCTCTATTGAGTTATAAAACCAAATAAATATATTAGGGTTTTCCTCTCCTTACAACAACAAAACATGCTAATTAAACACCCAATTAGCCCCAAAACACATCTAATGATAATAGATTTAAATCCAACAACTAACCCAAGTTCAACCTCATGAATTTATACAAAAATCCAACATGATACAATTTTCATGCAATACAAAAATTACCACATTGTCTATCTATAGACGAAGTATTGAAAAAAAGAACAAGGAGAATCCCTACCTCAAACGAAAAACACCAATGGAGAAGATGACCCAAAATCCAAGTGCTCCAAATCCACTATTTTTCAGATTAGAACGAAGCCCAAGCCGCCCTCTATCTTTCTTACAAAGAACTTAAGATGGATTCATACTAAAAAAGAGATGAAATCTAGAGAGGTAATATGTTTAGAGAGAGAGAGACTCGGCTGCTAGGGTTTCAAGAATGAAAGGGGAAGAAAAATGATCCTTTTCCCCGCTGCTGCCTACTGAAATACGATAGACTCGCTCGAGCGAAGACATGGCGCTCGAGCGACCAGACACAGAAAAACTCTCGCTCGAGCCCAGAAGTTCTGGTCGAGCCAAAAAACACTCAGAAGTGCGCTCAGGCGGAAGAAAGCTCGCTCGAGCCAAGAAATGCAGCTCTCAAGTCCAGAACCAGACGCAACGCTCGCTCGATCGAAGCCGTCCTGGCTCGACACACCAGAGACAAAACTCCGCGCTCGCTCGAGCGACAAACATTCTCGCTCGAAGCGAAGGACTAAAAACCTGGGCAGCAACCACCTGCTCCCATCACACCCAACCTGGAACGAACAAGTCCAAAACATTCTATAACACAAACTTAAAGAATTCAAGGACAGAAACAAGTTCTAAACAACACAACCGAAATTCACGGAACTAAGT